AGGTCTTTGGCGGCCTGGGCTCGCACCGGGACGTTTCGTAGCGGTGAATGTGCGATTGGTTTCGATCTTTGTGAAGTATATTCATGAGTGTGCATCAGGGATCGTGCTTTTGGCAGCAGAGGCGTCGTGCATTGCAAGAGAACAAGTAAGCTGCATGGGCTTTCCGTTTTCTTCTTGGTTTTGGGGGGGGGGTAAGGGGGCTCTTTCTTTGTTCTGCACGGAGGAGCCAACTTGAAGGAAGGGGAGGGGAACGTCGACGTTTCGAAAAAAAAAAAAAAAATGTTCGTCGAGACGAGAAGGCAAGGGAACCTTTTGACTTTTTCCCCGACGAGGATTTTGTTCCAAAGCTACGGCGGGACTTGGGGTGCACTCGAGATGCGCGTTCGTGCGGGGGAGGACTCGATCGTCATCTTTCAAAGAACAGTCCACGAGTTCGCCAAGTTGCAAACCGGCGGAGGGAGGGAGCAGACGCAGACGCAGACGCAGACGCAGACGCCGGCAGGCGCCTTTCAGAGCTTGCGCTATCCACGACTTTTTGGAGATGGGGGGGCAAAGTGGCTGCTCTGGCTTTGCGATCTTCGTGCACAAGGAAAGCAAAAAAATTAAAAAAAAAAAAAAGCAGCATAAAGTCTTGCGTTTTCCCCTTTTCATCGTATCGCGCAAGGAAAAGGGTGAGACGCAATGGAGGAGGCAGTACAAAGGCCAAAGGGTAAAGGGTGGGGACAGGGATCGGATACATGGCGGCAAGGTGACTCGTTGCCGACGATGACGAATGGACCGGGGGGGAGGAGGGAAACTTTTTGCTTCCCTTGTTCCCTGCCCTGGCTCTTGCTCTTTGCTCTTGCTCCCTATTCCATTTCATCCGATTATTCTTCCTCCTCCCCCTCTTCTTCTTCTCCTTCGCTCTCGCTCATCTGCTCCTCCTCTTCCTCTGCGTATTCATCTTCGCTTCTTTCCTCCTCCTCCTCCCCATCATCATCATCTTCTTCTTCTTCTTCCTCGTCCTCCTCCTCTTCGTCGCTCATGCCCTCCAAGATCACCCCAGCCCGCTTAGCCTTCCTGACCAACCTTTTCAACTCCTTCAACTCTTTGTACTCCTCATCCTCCTCCTCTCCCTCTTCCTCTTCCTCGCTCTCGCTCTGCTGAGCCAAGTCGACTCCCTCTCGATCCATCGGCGAACGTTCCAATGCAACACTTGCGACATCCATGCTGGAATTGGACAAGCCGCTCCCATCCCCCGCAACCACATCCAAGCACGTCAATCTAGCTCCTTTGCTATCGTACTCCGCGCAAGGTTGCAATCGCAATTCCAATCGCGAATCCGATTTCCCCTCTCCATTCATCGTCGTCGTCGTCGTCGCTCCTTCTCCTCCTCCTCGTGCCGATGCCCAGCTGTCGAGTTCGCCCAAATTGTACAGCCGAAACTTGCCGTCGGAGCAGATCGTCACTGCGATCTGAAGAGTGGGAGTGCTGGACGTGGTGGAGGAATCGCTGGTGATGTGTTGCGGGTCGACTATACTTTGAATGGCGATGGATTTGACGCTTGCGCAGGGAAAAGGCAGAGCAAGATGCGATCGGCGTCAGCAGGTGGAGAGATGCGTGCCATGACACAAGCTCATCTAGGTGAGCACCCCGCGCAGCGCGAGAATTGCAAGAAAAGAGAGGAAACAACAAGGCGAACCCTTTCGAGCAATCTCCTTCTGCTGGGATCGACTGCATCCAGACTCACCGATTGGTGTGACCGGTCAGACTAGCAAGCTGCACGAAACCTGCAGTCTCTTCAGCTTCCTCCTGCTCCTGCTCCTGCTCCTGCTCCTGCTCCTCCTCTTCTGACTCTGTGCCTTTACTGCTCGCCTGACTCGCACGCGGCAATCCCAACACCCTGACCCTTCCATCTTCCGTCCCAGCCAGCAAAACCTCCTCTTCCGCCACCGTGGCAAAGCTGAAACAAGTGATTCTCTTCCTCGTCATTTCCCTAGGGTTCATCTCGCTCGCTACGAGTCTCATCGTCTGATCGTACAGAAAGATTGCGTTCCTAGCCAGCACAACGAACCTATCGCCTTTGGCATTCCACATCAACTGTTCCGCATTCCAATCGCCTCCTCCTCCTCCTCCTCCTATTTGTTTGCTGCCCTTGGGAAGGGGTAGACGTACACTACCTGCGCTCTTGGCTCGCATCAGGTCCCACAGACGCAAATGTTGATCGTCTCCCACGCTCAATGCTAGACGTGCACCAGGATGTGCAGAGATGCTTCGAATCGATCCAGTGTGGCCCCGCAGCGTCTTGAGCAGCGCCCAGTCTCGTACGCGGTAGATGTTTAGTTCTCCCGTAGAAGATCCGGAGAGCAAGTAGGTGCGCAGTGGAAAGGTGAGGCTGTTGATCGTGCCTGTACGTGCGGGTGGGAGCGGCGTGAGCGGGGCAAAAAGGCACTATTCAAGATGAGCAGCTGTGCTTGGCGCATGTTCTCCGATTGACATGGCATAGCACCAGCTCGAGCATATCGAAGGAAGCTGATACCTCGAGAAAGAGTTTGCTTGCGCTTCGGCGCAGCTGCCTCGCTGGCCTTGCACCTTTTCTCTTCGCCTCTTCTGCCTTTTGAGCATGCGCCCGTGCCCGTGTGCCCGATCGCTCTGACTTTGACTGGCTGCTGACTCGTGCATCTACCCACCACCACCACCACCACAACAACAACAACAACAACAACACTCACCAGTATGTCCAGCCAACGTTCCCACCTCTACCTTTTTCCTCAAATCCCAAACCTTGATCACATCCTCCCCCGCTCCACTGACTGCCCACTTTGCGCCTCTTCCAGCCGCAGCGACGGACAAGATGGCGCTGGGATGCGCAGGAAATATGAATAGAGGTGTGATGCGGAAGGATATCCTCTTTCCCTGTGTGGCAGCCTCCTTGCCGCTCCTGCTCGCACTCGCACTCGCACTCGCACTCGCGTTGGAGAAGATGGGCTGGCAGTGCAGACCGTACAGGTGTCGCTCGTACGAGCCTGCAAGGATCCTAAAGGTGCGCGCAGCCGGCTCGCCAGCGAATGTGTGCGCCGAGTCGAGCTTGGAAGAAGCGGAAGCGGAATCGTGAGAGGGCGATGTTGTTGTTGTTGTTGTTGTTGAAGTTGAAGAGGCGCCTGGCGCGTGTGCTCGGCGTGCGCCATCGCCATCGCCATCGCCATCGCCATCGCCATCGTCTCTTCTGCCTTTGGACGGCCTGCCTGCTTGGACGCTTGTATCGACCTTGGCAGACTTGGACGCTGAGATGGCGCCATCGAAGCGAGCCCTCTTATTTGGTGCTGCTGCTGCTGCTGCCGCCGCCGCACTGCTACCTTGACGTTTGCTGGTCGCAACCGCCGAGCCTGTATTGGCTCGTTTCGACATGGCTCTGCGCAGGGGAGGGAGTGGAGGTGGTGAGGATGGTGTCTATGTCGACCTGATGTTGCCTCTGTGTTGCCTTCTTTGCGGGGCGGGGCGGGGTCCAACGCTGCCCGCCTCTTGAGGAAAGTTGGGAGTTTGTGTGGTGTGGATGGGAAAGCTGGAAATACACACTCGATACCTTGACATTGATACCTTGACATTCACGATTGCTTACTGCATCTACAACACGTCGTCTGCTTTCAATTGAAGCACTTCAAATTCGTGATTGTGAGTCCGTCGTTTCTGCTAACCTTGTGTGGAGAGAGCAACAAGTCTCGAGTCGTGAGTGTACTTAGCGGATGAAAGCAACAAATTTCAAAAAATCCGCTTCACGTGCGTGCATGCATGCGTACAGTCAAGAGTCTTGGAGTCAGACGGGGTTGGTGTCTCTTACACCGCGCTCAACCACGTGGTGAACTGGGAAATCGAGTTTGAGTCGAGTGGTGAGTCGAAAGGTCACGTGAGCGTGTGTGTGAGGCGTTCGGCAATGTGAATCGACATGGTGCCGAGCGCGCATGGCATGCAAAGGCACAACGCACCGGCTGTATACGCTCGTTCACACGCTTGCCGTGCCCTGCCCTGCCCTGCCCTGCCCTGCCCAGCTGCGCTAGGGAGGGTCCGGGCATCGGCTATGCGTATCAGCAGCAGCGCCCAGCATATATGCAGTCGACGAAGAGTGAGTGTGAATGCCCACCCATACCAACATGCAGCAAGCAGCACAAGGACCACGCGTACTCGCAATCGCATTCGCAATCGCTTCACAAACCTCCTCTTGCCCTCCTTCCCCCTCCGCGACGCTCAGCAGGACACCGAGAGCATTGAGCTACTCGCACTCGCACTCGCGCACACTCCTCTCCTCTCCTCTCCTCTCTCCATCGCCATCTGCCCATCTCATGCATCATGGCCAACCGCACACTCAGAAGGGGCGAAGCGTCATCAGGTGGGGGCGGCGGCGGCGGCGGCAAGAGCGCATCTTTGAGCGGTGCGCTCTCCTTTGAGCCCAGCTCGCTGATTTATGGCAAGAAGCTGAGCGAATCAGAGATGGAGCGAGCGTTGGAGCAGCTTTACATTCCCAGAGCAGAGGATGGCAAAGTGGATGCGCGAGGCGTATCTCATCAGTTGTTGGTGCCTCATCGAGGTCGCATGTCGCGCGTATCCATCAGACCTACCAAACCCTCCACCTTCGATGCTCATTGGAAATACTTTAGTCAAGCTACACCCCTCGCTCTCAATGTCAAGAAGAGCGCGCAGGATGGGCAGGATGAAAAGACGGTAAAGGATAGGAAGAGGGCAGAGGCGAGGGAAGTCAGAGCTCAGGGTGGTCAGGCCGCCGCTACTGCCAAGAAAGTGGGAGTGAACAAGGAATTCTTTAGGCAGCTCAAGTGAGTCTTTTGGTTTGCTGTGCGGATGCTTTGCAAGAGCGCATACACGCCACCCCACGCCATTCCATGCCACTCGACTCGGCCAGCACCACTCTTGCTTACATTCCTCCCTTTCTCTTCTCCACTTTTAGGGCCATTTTGCGAATTCTAATCCCCAACACTCGCTGCAAAGAAGTTATTTTGCTGGCGCTGCACACCGCTTTTCTCATCCTGCGCACATACCTCAGCGTCCTCGTTGCCCGACTGGACGGCTACATTGTCAAGAACCTCGTCACTGCCAATGGTCGTGGGTTTCTACGTGGACTGGGACTGTGGTTCGCCCTGGCTGTGCCCAGCACATACACCAACAGCATGGTGAGTGCGGGAAGTTACTGGCGCCTAGTGTCTGCTGTCAACGCGTTCGTCTTTCTGACACGCTCTATGCGCTTCCCTCAGATCCGATACCTACAGAGCAAGTTGGCCATCGGTTTCAGAACTCGTCTGACGCGCTATGCCCACGACCTCTACCTCTCGCCCAAAGCCAACTTTTACCGCATCATCAATCTGGATGGAAGGGTAGAATCTGCGGATCAGTACATCACCACCGACATTGCTCGTTTCTGCGAGACCCTGTCTGCTCTGTACAGCAACATTGCCAAGCCCACTCTGGATATCATCATTTTCAATTACCAGTTGGCGAATGCTATTGGTGGAAGAGGTCTGTTCGGGCTGTTTATCAGCTACTACTTGACCGGGAGGATTTTGCGAGCTGCTGCCCCGGCATTTGGCAAGCTGGCAGCGATCGAAGCCAAATTGGAAGGCGACTTCAGAGGCGCTCATGGTAGACTGATTACGAACGCCGAAGAGGTGGCCTTTTACAATGGATCCGCTATCGAGGAGAGTATCCTCAATAGAGCTTTCAAGAGGCTCGTCAAGCACGTTGGAAGCATCTACAAGGTCAGAGTGGCCTACTCCATGACGGAAGACTTTGTGCTCAAGTATGCTTGGTGAGTGCTTGCTTCACACCATGAGACTGTCTGAATTCCCTCGCAGACACGGTCCTCGCTGAAGAAGAATTATCTCCTGCTCGATCCTCAGGTCGGCTGCGGGCTATGGTCTGATCGCGATGCCGTACCTCACTGGCAACAAAGCGGGGAGCGCCGACGAAGGTGGCTCCACCGCGGCGTCCAAAGATGCCGGTGTGGCAGCGCGCACGCAAGGTTATGTGGGCAGCAGACGTCTGCTCCTGAGCGTGTCGGATGCCGGTTCGCGTCTGATGGCATCCTACAAGGATCTCGCCGAATTGGCCGGCTTCACCAGTCGAATCTACGTTTTGCTTCAGGTGCTGCATTCCCTGGACAGAGGGCACTACCAATCGCTTCCTCGACCGGACGACTTGTCGGCCCATCAACCTTTTTACGATTTGGGAAGCATCAAGGGAAGAGTGACGCGAGGATCGGAGGATGTCGAGCTTTCCCACGTGCCCATCGTTGCGCCCGCACCTGGAGTGGAGAGGGGAGGAGAGGAGTTGGTGAAGGACTTGAGCTTGCGCGTCAAACCTGGCATGCACGTCCTCATCTCTGGACCCAATGGGGTGGGCAAGACGGCAGTGGCGAGGGTCTTGGCGGAGCTTTGGCCCGCTTTTGAGGGGGAGATGCGCGTGCCGGATGCGAAGCGCACGATGTTCTTGCCGCAAAAAGCCTACTTGACCACGGGAAGTCTGAAGGAGCAGATCATCTATCCGCACGCTGTGCCTCAATGCAGCAAGACGGATGCGGAGCTGATGGAGATCTTGGGAGCGGTGCATTTGGCGTACGTGGTGGAGAGGGAAGGAGGCTTTGGGGCGAGAAAGACGTGGACGGATGTGCTTTCGGGAGGAGAGAGGCAGCGCTTCGCATTTGCCAGGCTGCTCTACCACGCTCCGCGATTCGGCATACTGGACGAGACTTCGAGCGCAGTGTCGACGGATGTGGAGGGGTTGATGTATCAAGCTGCGAAGGAGAGGGGCATCACACTCATCACCATCTCTCACAGACCCAGCTTGATGCGCTACCACACGCACCTCTTGCACCTTGGCGGAGAGGCCAATAGTTGGAAGTTGGAGGAGCTGGAAGGTTCGAACGAGGCGCTCAGCTTTGAGGAGGAGATCAAACAGCTCAAGAACCAGCTTAGGGATGTGGAAAAGTGGGAGAAGAGGGTGGAGGTGATCAAGAAGGAGCTGAGTCCCAAGGCGTAAGGTTTTTTTTGTAGAGGTTTGTGCTGCTACTCCTCAAGTACCTCCTCTACTCTCACTACACTCCTCATCCCCCCCCCCC